TGCCCATATATGCTATGTATTATAAGAGCTCGCGCGCACGGACATTTATCTTGAATGGACGCTGATCTTAATATTAATAGGCATAAAGAGATGAACATAGTATCAAATCGTTTAAACAAATATGGGATTTATCATGAAAGAAAAAAAAATGGCGATTCTACGTTGTGTAATGGTGTTACGCGCGAAAACGCGCACGCAAGCGCGTGTGCGCGATTTTTTAATAAAATGCTTAAAATGACCTGAAACGTATGCAAAATAAATTTAAGACGATTTTGAGCATTTTAAAATTTTGCGCGCGCATTGACGCGCGGACGTACGCGCACGCGCGCATTTTTTGTCCTGAAATTGTCCGGACTGATATTGACCTTGATCATGATAAATATGAATGAGAAATGGCTTTCGGTTATGAAGATATGACCATGAGTTGATTTTCAGAAAATTTCACAAAATGGCGCCTAGATGACGTCATCAGTCAAGGTCATGGTTGAACAAATTTCTGTGCTTTGTTCTAATGCCTATACATATGTGTGCTAAATTTCAAGGTATTTGATTGAACCATTTTCAAGTTATCTTGCTCACAAAAAAGTGGGTCGAAATAAGAAAAATAAAGAAATAATAATAAAGGCAATTTTAACAACATTATAAGGTGGTCTGTATTAGATACAGCCCACCTGATAAATAAAGGCAATTCTAACGAAACTAGACATATAATACTTGTTTGGAACAAGTATAGGTGGGCTGGTCAACTTAAATTTGAGACAAAATAGAGCAAAAATAAGCGAGATACTGCTTAAAATTCTTTAAAAAACAATATCATGTAGTTTGATGACGTGAACGAAATTCACCTTCTATAGGGATAACGCAAATTATGAAGGCCTTTTGACATGAGGCCTTTAATCGAGATTTTCACTATGATGACGTCATTAAAATAAAAAATAGTTATTACTAAGCTTGTAGAGAATTGTCTTAGCTACAACATATCGAAATTTTGAAGAAAATTGATCAATATTTACAGAGATACAATCAATTTTCCATAAATATGTTGACGTCATAATATGCAAATTCCTTTTTTGAGTTCCAAGGCCATTGTGATGATGTCACGATACACTTAATGGCCAAATGAGACATGGAATCATATCTTCGGCTCATACTCTATCTAAATATGAAAACAAATTGAAGGTCACAGTTCACTCTAAAGAGCTATAATGGATTTTGTATAGGCATGTTTTTGCCCATATATGCTATGTATTAAAAGAGCTCGCGCGCATGGGCATTTTTCTTGAGTTGACGCTCATCTTGTTATTGATGGACATAAAGAGATAAACATGGTATCAAATTCCTCGAAAAAATATGAGAAATATCATGAAAAACAAAAAATGGTGATTCTACGTTGTGTAATCGTGTTACGCGCGAAAACGCGCACGCATGCGCGTGTGCGCGATTTTTTATAAAATGCTTTAAATGACCTGAAACGTATGCAAAAAAAATTTAAGACGATTTTGAGCAATTCAAAATTTTGCGCGCGCACTGACGCGCGGACGTACGCGCACACGCGCGTTTTTTGTCTTGAAATTGACCAGACTGATATTGACCTTGATCATAATAAATATGAATGAGAAATGGATTTCGGTTATGAAGATATGACCATGACTTGATTTCAGAAAATTTCACAAAATGGCGCCTAGCTGACGTCATCAGTCAAGGTCAAGGTTGAACAATTTTCTGTGCTTTGTTCTAATGCCTATACATAATGTGTGCTAAATTTCAAGGTATTTAATTGAACCATTTTCAAGTTATCTTGCTCACAAAAAAGTGGGTCGAAATAAGAAAAATAAAGAAATAATAATAAAGGCAATTTTAACAACATTATAAGGTGGTCTGTATTAGATACAGCCCACCTGATTATAAGGTGGTCTGTACGTTATACAGCCCACCTGATAATTATTATAAAGCGCAACATATCCATCTCTAGAAATGGTCAAGGCGCATACAAATAATTTAAATTAATATTCAACATACTTAAGAAAATACTTAAAAAATATTAAATGTTAACCTGCATTAGATCATACAAGTTCATGGTGCCAAGGTACATACAATGTGGCACAATGTTATTGTTTGTTTTGCATGCATTGTATAAAAAGAACATTGAAATTTAACAATATGCATTGAGCATCAGGTGAGTTTTAAGCCCAGTTTTGAAAGTAGAGAGAGTGTTGGCCGTCTGAATAGAGAAAGGTAACTTATTCCACAAAGAAGGAGCTGCTGATGCAAATGCTCTATCCCCCAATTTCTTTTGGTATACGTATTTCTTTAAGTCTAATATTATGTGATGAACGTAAACCAGAACGACCTGCGGAGTGTGGTGATAGAAGGGATGAAATATATTCTGGAGCTAGATCATTTTAGTGCATGATAGGTTAAGAGTAGAATTAACGTTTCATTAAATTATTAGAGAAAGAAGACGATTCGTTGTACCGTCATCCACTCTTTATCCTTGTCTGAATTGAGTTCCCTTCCCCCCCCCCCCTCCCGCGCGAAGCGCGGAAGCTTTGACGGTTCATTAAATTATTAGAGGAAGAAGACGATTCGTTGTAACATTCTTGACTCTTAATCCTTGTTTGAATCCAGTTTCCCCCCCTCCTACGCGAAGCGTGAAAGCTTTGACCTTTCATTAATTATTAGAGAAAGAAGATTTGTTTTACCATTCTCGACTCTACTTGACTAAATTCAGCCCCCCCCCCCCTCCCGCGCGAAGCACGGAAGCTTTGGCCTTTTATAGTTTAATGAATTATTAAAGAAAGAAGATGATTCGTTGTTCCATTCTCGACTCTTAATCCTTGTCTGAATTCAGTTCCCCCCTCCTGCGCTTTGCGCGGAAGCTTAACATTATTTTCATTAAATTATTAGAGAAAGAAGACGATTCGTTGTACCGTCATCGACTCTTTATCCTTGTCTGAATTGAGTTACCCCCCTCCCCTCCTCCTCCTCCTCCCGCGCGAAGCGCGGAGGCTTTGACGGTTCATTAAATTATTAGAGGAAGAAGACGAATCGTTGTACCATTCTCGTCTCTTAATCCTCGTTTGAATTCAGTTTTCCTCCTTCCGCGCGAAGCGCTAAAACTTTGACGTTTCATTAAATTATTAGAGAAAGAAGATGATTCGTTGTTCTATTCTCGACTCTAAATCCTTGTCTGAATTCAGTTTTCTCCGGCTCGCGCGTAGCGCGTAAACTTCTGACGTTTAATTAAACTATTAGAGAAAGAAGATGATTCGTTTTATCATTCTCGACTCTTAATCCTTGTCTGAATTCAGTTTCCTTCAGTGAAAAAAATACACGGGGGCTCGGGGCGAATTAGCCCCCAAAATGCCTAAAAGAGCCCCCAAAAATCAGAAAAGAGCCCCTGTAGTTTGCATAGAGTTCAATGCAAAACAAATTTTAGAATGTTATTTCATGCAGGCAAGCTTGAAAAATAGCCCCCGAAAAATAAATATTAATTTTTTGCCTGGTTTCCTTCCGCCCGCGCGAAGCGCTGAAGCTTTGACATTTCATAAAATTATTAGAGAAAGAAAACGATTTGTTGTACCGTTCTCGACTTGTCAGAATTTTCATTTTTTTTCTTTGTCTGCTCCTTTTTCGTCCTATGTCCTCTTACTGCCCCTACCGCCCCTAGCTACGCGCCTGCTTTAAAGGGAAAATGAAACAATCATGATTGTGATAGCACACAATTAGGTTAGTAGAAATGAAAGGGAAAAAAGATCTATTACACCAATCATGTATAAATGACGGCCGGGAGCGTCATATAGTTTTGTGTTATCGGGCGAGGGCCGGGGCGTAGGGACCAAGCGAGATTTTGCAATGTTGAATGCTGAAATTATGCATTCTAGAAAATCCCTTAGCCCAATATCTACGTTCTTTCCGCTATATTTCTTTCTAGCTATATTTCTAAATTTCCTGGGGGGCTTGTCCCCCTATCGGGCCCAGGATTGCCGCCCCTGTCCATGATTACTACCAACATGAGTTCAAATACAAGCAGAAGCGAGTTGGTATGAGCTGAATCGAAATGAAGGGCAAAATAAGAGTTGTGGAGCGGCCCTACCGTTAGTTTATAATTTGACTGTCGAGTATATAACTTCTATTTAAAAGACATCCAAAATATTGTGCCCTTTTCAAATTTCTCACTAAAGAGTGATGACCTTTGCTACAGGGGATGTTCTTAACGTTTAACTTTGAATCCGCGGCTCGAGATTTTATGCGGCCGGCCCGGCCCCCCTCTATTCAATAACGTTTGCCAAGCCTTCTGGAATGACCCCAAATCTCCCGATTCCAGTTTTCCCTTATTCGTCGTTACTGTCACTTAGCGCCATTTCCTTGTCTTTCCCCCTTTCTCACCCGACTTTTCTCCCTCCCTCCCTCCCTCTCAGTGTTATCTAGGGTACGCTCACGGTTCCCTCTCTTTGAAAGCACCCCTCTATCTCCGGTGTGTAAAGTTCAGTACGGGCCGGATTTGTGTGTATTACGGGCCGGACTTTGTTGCGTGAAAAGTAACTCTTTATCGGAAATTTTGGGAACACAAATTCGGTCCCTCCGACCCCGGAGTGGAGGGGGGGGGGGGGGGGGGGGGGGGGGCTTTCTTCTTTATCTTTTCTCTTCTCTTTTCTTCTTTTTTCCTTTCTCTTCTCCTCTCCTTTTCTCTTCTCCTTTCTTTTTTTCTCTTTTTTTTTCTTCCTCTTTTTTTTTTCTTCATTTTTTTGCGCCGCCAATAGGGGGGCCGCGGCCGTTTCGGCCCCCCCCCCTGGATCCGCCACTGTACTATTCAGATCAGATTCAGATTAATTTTATTGGTCCATTTGGAAATTCCGTCTCTCAGTGAGTCTTGTTAGCTCACTCATGATTGACATATATGATATCATCAGGGAAATGAGATCTGGAGCAATTTTTAGGGTGGAGCTTATAGCATGTCTGAGAAAATTATTTAAAAAACATTAGATCTAGACTTAATTGGCTCACGGTCATGGTGTATGAAAATGTGTATGAAAATCAAAATATAGTCTGCATTTGCAGACTACTGCATGTTTTCATTTGACCTGAAGTTTCCGCATGCTTTCTTTTTGCTTCGACTAGCAATAATTCTGTTGACAGCTGACTGGTGGTAATGGCGTCGGTGAATGAGAACCCAAATGAAGAGAATAAAGGCTACTTTGACATGCTTCCAGATGTGGCGTTAATCGAAATTTTGTCATATCTCCACGCAACTGAAGTCTCCAAAGTAACCAGTATCAGCAGACGCCTTTTCGACCTGGCGCTCACCCGTACAGCGGGGCGGTAAGCTCAGTTGAATTTTCGCTGGATTAGAGAATCGCCAGCACAGCACGTGCTCGGCATGTAGCTAGACCTCTAGGCCTACGTTAGAATCTGATTTTGAAATATTTACGTCAGACTCGGGGTCTGGACTGAATAAAGTTGTTGTTACTGTAAGACAGTAAGATGACCCACCAAGGCCAGTGAATTAATTGTAAACCCTTTCTGTATATTTGTATGATTTTTAAGGCGGAAAAGTGGAAACTGACTTCCTTTTTAAATCATTTAGAATTTAGTGCATGCAATGAGGCCCTACGGCTACACTTTTTGATATTCAATTCAAAACTTGAACGAATTCAACAGCCCTTTACTCATGTTACTCCTTAGCTTTTTTAATAATAATTTTACAAAGGTAAAATTGTGTTTGGCGGGAGGTTTTTTCATGAACCGGGAGATTCTACATGGAAGCGGAAAGAAGGGCGTGGTGGCGGGAGGGAGTCTCCCATATCCCGCTACGAGCTCGTGGGACGGTGGGAGAATAAACGTGGTTGCGTGAGACTCCCTCCAAAATAATGCAGAATGGTCGACAGCCGGCCCTGCAGTGCTGTACTCCCCAGTACAGTAGGCCATACATGTATAATTTGCAGGGCTGTCAACTTTTTTTTTGAGAACAATTTCGCAACGACTCAGCCAGCCGTTGAATAACATCAAATCAGCTTTCAATTAACATAAGAAAAAGGGATCATCATCATGGGGGACCAACAGGCACTGATTAGGCATTGTTAGCTTTATAGAGGGCGCAAGTAGCTATACGTGTCATGGGCGTAAATCCTTACGTAATACCTATTGTTCAGGGGGGATGAATGAATAGATCATCCCCCCCGGAACAATAGGTATCAATTGCAGATTTACGCCCATGATATGTGTAGTGCAGTGGGGCTGTAATTAAATGCTTGAAATTTGAATACTGTTTTACATGTGAGAATGCTCCATATAATACTGATCTCCCTTGAAGTTAAAATAAATGATTACTGTTCATTTTTTCCAGCAATGTGAACCTCTCTGGATGTCGTGACAACACATGGGGCTGGTTGCTAGACTACATGAAGACACTCTCAGGTGTGATGATTGGAGCCCTGGACCTGAGCCACAATCCTTGGATATCGGCCAAGTATTTTGAAAAACTCACCAATTTCATGGTCAATGTCACGTGTTTGGATGTGACAGGATGTTGCATCAGTGAAAAGGTGGGTGGCACAACTCGGTCGCAAGAGTTAAATTTTCTCAAAGTAGAATCAATTTAAAATCAAACAATGCAAAATTTGTAATAACTATACTTCCTTAGTCAAGTTTTACATAAGTCAAACTATTTTTGTTGCTATCCCATTACGGTCCTGACAGATTTGATTTATAAATGCTGATTATATTCTTTCATATTTTGGGTGCTGTTCTATAAATGATAATATGGAGAGAAGGTTTAGTTATTTTTTTGAAGGGTGTCTGAGATTTTTGCAAAGGGCCAACTCATAGCTCCAAGTAAAAGTGATACTTTAATCCTTGGCCCTTCTACATAGTTTATCTTTCTCCATCTTCATCCTTTGTTTGTTGTGTGTAGGGGGTGGGGAGAGGGGCAGAGCAGGTGGGGTATTTGTCTCTATTTACCTCAACATGAAATGGGAAGATTCTTTGAAAATGTAGCTAAGGAGAGGTACTGTACCTTACTTCATTTAAATTCTTCATATGATTCAACTCTGAAGCCTGTTTATAGACCAGGGGGGTGTTTCACAAAGATCCTAAGTTGAACTTATCTCTAAGTTGGACTTAAAAATTATGGAAAGCTGTTAGCGTCATTGACAATATTTTGTAAAAGTTGATTCAAAACATTCTTATTTTCAATTATCGAGAAATTTTCAATGTTGTTGATGTGGAATTTATGAAAAGTCTAAAATACTTGAATTTTCGCTTTTGAATATATTTGATTTTAAGGCTACAAAGGGCTCTCCATAATATTTAAGTCCAACTTAGAGTTAAGTTCAACTTAGGATCTTTGTGAAACACCCCCCTGTTCACGGTTAGCACATGCCAATTTCCGGTGGATATTATCCACAGATCTTCAAAACATGAAGAGGTCCCACTTTGTACATTTTGAAATAATCACTCCTACAGTGATGGAGGTGCTACATAAATAGCCTTTATTTCTCCGTTTCAAAGAATACTTCCACATGTGTATCATGGAGTGCGCTGCTTGTGCATAAATGAATAATGATTACATAACTTTCATGAGCACGCATCCAGTATTTTGTCTCCTTGTATTTCACAATTTGGTTTGCAACTTTGCAATGACCTTTATCTGCTCATGCTCAGACTGCAACTATGAACTGGCTTATTGCATGCAATATCTCACTTTCATCAGCAAAACTTTGTGATGAAATTCATCTCTAAGATTTTTTCTATGATGCACTCTGAATGAAAAATTTATCTGCTAACTTTATAATTAAATTTTTATTTGATATCTTCATTCTAGTGTATGGACATGATCCTATCCAAGGCGACCAAGCTCCACAAGCTGGCTTATACCGATCGCAACTTCACTTTCATCTCTGCACCTGAAGAAGGATCCTCTCACGAGGGAGCCCTGAGCAGCGAGAGCCTCTGTACCCTCTCTGGAATCACCCATCTCAGTATTGCATTCTTGATGTGCTGTGTGGATCTCTCTCTGGTCGCTTACTGTCCCAAACTCACTGCCTTGAGGCTTGATCACCACCTCAAAACCACAGGCTATGTACACTGCGGTTGTTCATTTCAAAATCTAACCGGTGAGTTTCTCTCTAAAAAAGAATCTTGGATGAAAGCCCCACTGCACTACTTATAGATACTTGCGCCCTCTGTATAGCAAACAATGCCTAATCAGTGCCTATTGGTCCCCCATGATCCTCTTTTTCTGATATTAATTGAGAGCTGATTTGATGAGATAACCGCCTGTCAGTGACCTTGCAGGGAGGTCTAATACCCCTTGCCAAAACTACTGCAGAACTTAGCAGAAGCGCTGTAAGTCCAGCTTATTTGAATATCTTATTCAATGATTTTTAGTAATGGTAAATTTCATTTGGAAAGCGCTTTTCGAAGAGCTTCAGAGCGTAATCAACTAGAATACATGAAATGCAGCATTGTTCAAAATGCATTGTCTATAAATAAGAAAAAATAAGTGTGCATCAAGAAGAAAAAATATGTTGATATGATTTTATCTGCATGACCCCCTCTCAATCCAGGTGTTGAATGGGAACCCGGTAGGATGCGAACGTCAATGTTATGGGATGAGCATGTGATGGTTATAGCGGAGCATTTTCATCACCTGAAGCAGTTCAGTCAGACCAGAGCTCACTCTCTAATGCATCCACAACTGACTTACATCATGAAGAATATTATCAAACATTTACTGGTAAGGAAGCTCTTTCTACTCCTCCAAATTTTGTTTTGTTATGTACTATTATATTGGTATGGTCTATAATTCTTGTTGCTTATGGTACTTACCTATTACCTTTAATAGAGGGCTTCACACCAACTGTTTTGGTATAGGGTCCAGATTAATCTTAATAGAGTCTTTGGCCCGATTTCACAAAGGAGGTTTGTCGACAAACCTAGGTTTAAGCGCGTCATATGACGCTACAAACCTTTCTCGAAACACATTGAAATGCGTATATAACCATGGTTTGAAACAAATAAATAGAAGAAAGGCAAATAAAAGGAAGGGATAGGTGGAAATGAAAGAAAAATTGAATTATTAGTACAGGTGCTAAGATCATAGGAAAACTTGAAATTTGCTTTAAACTTCACTTTGTCGTGCAGTCATGCATATGAATGTGCAGTTCATAAACTCGTGAATCTGAAATACTCTTTTGTAAAGTCAGTCGAAAATCTTTTGCAATTAACCTATACCAACATGAACCGGGCAGCACCTTTATTAAGTCTATGGGGATGAGAGAATACAGTATTCAAGGGGTTCATGACACCATGAAATATTTAACTCTTCAATATTTTCTCTCTTCCTACAGCTAAACGGGGCAAGCTTCACCAAGCTGTTCTTCTCACGGGCAATATCGGCGACTGAAAATGATCAAATTTTCCAAAGTAAGCTAAATGATAAGCCTTACTGGTCGTCAAACCTTAGCCACGCAGACATGCCATTTGACTTGAAGAGGACTGTACCTTCTCTACGCTACCTCAGAACAGACCTTGTCTGTCTTAAGAATGTGGAAGATCACACCTTCAAGCAGTTCCCAAATCTGCAGTATCTGCGTTTATGTCAGGGAACTTCTGAGAAGGTAATGAGACTTTCTTCAAGTATCTGTATAGTCCTCTGAGTAGAGTACTGTCATTCGTATGTGAGGTGCTGTCAATTAGCGTTCCATACTCCATACCCGATTCTCAATAAACAACTGATTATCTTTAACAAACATAAATTATTTATGGCAGAATTTGATCACTTCTTTGAGTATTAAAGGCAGGCTTTACTACTTCAGCAAGAAGGGATTAGACCACCCAGCGAGCCAGCGAGGTCACTGTGACAGGTGGATATCTCATTAACTCAGCTCCCATTTAACAGAAGAAAAAGAGGATCATGGGGGACCAACAGGCACGGATTTGGGAAGTTTTCTTTATAGAGGGAGCAAGTAGCTTCAAGTAGGACAGTGTGCCTTTAAAGGCCTATCACCACATTGATTTCCAGCATTGAAATGTGAGATATTATCCCACTTACACTTAATTGCAAATGTTAAAGTGTAATGCTTTTAATAATAGTGAACACTTATAATGCACAATGTCTCTCAAAAATGTCACCTCTGGCGCAGTTGTGTGAAAATTTTATAACTGTGGGCATACGACCATCAAGTGATTCAAGAAAGAAAGTAAAATAAACCTAAGTTAAATTTTGAAGAAAATGATTTTCTATTTGTTTCAAATTGTATCTGTTTGTTTTTTTAACAGATGGAGAGGCTGATTCTAGAGCTGCTTCCCCAAGTGGCTTCTGCTTGTCCTAATCTGCTGGGTCTGTGCTTACCAGGAATTCACATCCATCCAACCACTCTGGACACTCCAGTCTCTCAAATCCTGGGCAGAATGAAGAGTAAGAACTTCTGAGTGTTCAACCCTTGTAAATATGAAACTGAACGGTATTTTAAATGTGATAATGTGTGCTGTATAAAAAAGATTAATAACAGCCGATTCCAGTAGTTCTGTAACTGCCTTGTTTTGGCTTCTGCTTGTCTTCATATTTTGGATTCGTGTTTACCAGGGCTACTGTTCACTTTAACAACCAACAACAGTCCACTTGCTTGAATGTTGGGCAAGCTGAAAAGTACTCCGTCTCTCTCCCACTCTCTTTTTATTTCCATCGCTCTCTCTCCTAGTCCTACTCTCTATTTCTGCCCCTCACTCTTTCTGTTTCTATCTCTCTCTCTCCTACTCTATGCCCCACTCTCTTTCTTTTTCCATCTCTGCCCCCACTCTGTTCCTGTTTCCATCTCTCCCTTATTCTCTCCTACTCTCTATCTCTGCCCCCACTCTCTTTCGGTTTCTCTCTCTCTCTCCTACTCTCTATCTCTGCCCCCACTCTCTTTCGGTTTCTCTCTCTCTCTCTCCTACTCTCTATCTCTGCCCACTCTCTTTCGGTTTCTCTCTCTCTCTCTCCTACTCTCTATCTCTGCCCACTCTCTTTCGGTTTCTCTCTCTCTCTCTCCTACTCTCTATCTCTGCCCACTCTCTTTCGGTTTCTCTCTCTCTCTATCCTACTCTCTATCTCTGCCCACTCTCTTTCGGTTTCTCTCTCTCTCTCTCCTACTCTCTATCTCTGCCCACTCTCTTTCGGTCTCTCTCTCTCTCTCTCTCCTACTCTCTATCTCTGCCCACTCTCTTTCGGTTTCTCTCTCTCTCTCTCTCTCCTCACTAATTCACAGCCATCATGTTTCATTTGGCCTTTTCTTCACTCTAAGTCTCCTTTCTCTTTATGTTCTTTATTTGCAGAGCTGCAGTATCTGTCCATTTCTCCTTGTGCGTTTGGGATACACAGCCGGACTAATCATTCAATGTAAGTGTTTGTTCCATGCTCAAGCAGTATCAGGCCTGATAATTACCTGATTTTTTCCCCTCCAGATCCCCCCCCCCCCCCCCCTCCCCGATAATTTCCTCCCAGGTTTTTTGTTCTTTCTGATTTTTCCCCAATTTTCTGATTTTTTTTAGTGCCCACTATCACCCCTGGAGTATACACAAGTACAAATGCTGCTTACAAATTTATTACGCAATTCAAGTTCAGTAACATTGATATAAATTGTATCCCCCGGCAGTATGCCGGTGGGGTACTTTGGATTCAACAGCGTTAAGCCGCCGCGTCATATTCTTGTGTGCGCTCTAACTGCCACATTCCTGGACGGATTTCTTTCAAATTTCTTTTGAATTTTGTATGGAGGTGTATCATGGTATAATCTCAACACCTATAACTTTTGGTGATGCTGCCCCCAGTGTTCCGTCTTCTATAGGGTAACAGGCCATATTTTTATGCCTCCGTTGCGAAGTAGCCGGAGGCATTATGTTTTCAGGTTGTCCGTCCATGAACTGATAAGATTTTGGGGTCAAGGTCAAAGGTCATGGGGCTCATTATGCAAAAATAGCTTGTGATAGCATTATCATTAGAACAGATTGATGGATTCCTGCCAAACTTAGATCATGTATGTATCTGGCAGAGCCAATGAACTAAATAGATTCTTGGGTCATGGGCTCATTATGTATGCAAAAATAGCTTGTGAATGCATTCTCATTATAACTGATAGATGGATTACTATTTAACTTAGGACATCTTGCAGAGCCAATGAACTGAGTAGATTTTAGGGTCATGAGGTCAAAGATCAAAGGGTCATATATGTATATGAGAAATTGCTGGTAATCGCGATATTCTGAGAACCTGTTAATGGATTACCATTGAACTTGAATTTGAAAAATTTCTTCTGTTTTGGTTTGTAAAATTGCTCTATGACGGAGGCATCATTTTCGACTGTGCGCAGTTGAAGTTCCATCTAGTTGTGGATGGTTTGTGTGCCCTCTATAGGCCACATTTCTCAAGGTATTTCGTTCAAATTTTTAACAAAGGTGTATCATGGTATAATCTACAAGCCTATAGATTTTGGTGATGCTGCCTCCAGTGTTCAATCTTTTATAGTGTCAAAGGTCATATTTTTATAGATGTCTTTGTGGCACTCTAGTTTGTGGTCTAACTGTATTATTCCTTAACAGATTTCTTTCAAATTTTGTATGGAGGTGTATCTTGGTATAATCTACACACATACAACTTTTGGCGATGCTGCCCCCAGTGTTCCGTCTTCTATAGAATCAAAAGGTCATATTTTGATGGGTGTCTAGTGTGCGCTCTGCGGGTCATATTTCATCACGGATTTCTTTCAAATTTCGTATAGAGAATGAGAAATGTATCTTGGTACAATTTACACTTTTGGGCGATGCTGCCCTCATTGTTCAGTCTTTTATGTGCCACATTTCTTGACAAATTTCTTTCAAATGTTGTATGGAGGTGTGTCTTAGTACCGTCTAAACATCTTTAGTGTTTGGTTATGCTGCCACCTGTGTTCCATTTGTTATAGGGTCAATGGTCATATTTTGGTGGCTGTCTTTTGTGCGCTCTAACTGCTACATTTCTAACTGACAGATATCTTTCAAATTTTCTACAGAGATGCCATATACTCTAATCTACACACATATTGTTTTGGTGATGCTGTTCCTAGTCTTGACAATAGTCTGAGTTACCAGTGGTGATCTCTATGTCATCCTTTTGTTTCAGGGAGGGGAGAGGGGACTTTGTCCCTCCTTCGAACATAAGGATGACGCAAAATCGCTGCCACTGCCGGGGGATACATTCGCATTGCACGGCAATACAGATTGCGATATTTCTAGTTCTACTACAGCTTTGAGAAAAGAATAATTATGTGATATGTTCAGCAAAGAGTATGTGTTGTGATAGTTTAGTTGCTTGTGTATTCTTTATTATGTAACAGCAATCAGCTTTAACAATACACCCTTTCACGGTTACAAGAGTGCGCATGCGCAGAAATTGGCACCATTTTCCTCACAATTTAAAATGGTGCCTATGTCAATAATGATGTGAGCTCGCAGCGCAGGTAATGACGCAACAATACATGCACATCTGAAAACATTGATGACGCAATGTTTACTCACAAATTAAAATGGCTGCCTTAACCGTGAAGGGGTGTATTGCCATCAAGCAGATAATAATCAGTATTTTTGTTTCCAACTTGTTTTGTAGATTTGACACTAAAGAAGACATCGCAGAGAGGGCCTCAGCGCTACCCAAGGGCATTGAAAATGTAAGTATGTCTATTCTGCAGTGATACAATCCTCTGGTGACATTTGTTCTGAGCTTGATGTTGATATTTGGTAATTTGTATGCCTCCGCAACAAAGTAGCGGGGAGCATGATGTTTTGGGGTTGTCCGCCTGTCCGTCCTTATATCCTGTTCTCGTGATCACATTATTAGTAGAACCGATGGACGGATTACCATCAAACTCAGGACATGTATGTATCTTGCAGAGCCAATAAACTGATTAGATTTTTGGGTCATGATGTCAAAGATCAAAGGGTCATACATGTACGGAGTGTCCAGAATCATCAATAATCTTTCATATGGCCATCAGCTGATGTATGTTATCAGTATTTGTACCAAAATGTGCTCCATAAATTGACTCAATTAAAGTTCACATTTGTTGTTGGTGTTCATTTTTAGAATAAACCCTGCTTCTGAATGTTTTTCACTAAATCGATTTGAGATACTTGACTAGTAGGCTGACACAGTTTCTACCAAAACTGTTCAGCAGGTATTATTTATTTGAAGACTACAATATTCAGCTTAAGTTTTCTTCTTTTTTAATTTTTTAAAATTATATCTGATTGTTATTTATACAAACAGAGCCAGACTCCTGATGATTTAGGAAAGGACATATCAGGTCTGGTCCAATCCTGTCCTGGTCTTACAGAACTAGAACTGATCAATCCACAGACTAGGGTCTCCCTAGGGTATCCCTATGATGGCATCAGCGATTCAAGGTGAGCTCAGCTGTCTAAGACATTCATCCACTATTCTTTGACCAGGGGAGTGTTTCACAAAGACTAAGGTCGACTTTAAGTTGGATTTAACTATGGCAGGCCGTTCATGCCGCTGTTTGGTCTCAGCATTTACTGGCATTGGTCTCTCAAGGACATACAAATCATGGTCACACATCTACAGAATTTACATTATTTGATAGTTCATTATTGAAGGAAAAAATATCTAAAGATCATGCTTGAGCGACCAATAGTGAGAGCAACCAATAGCATGAATTGCCTGTCATAGTTAAAGGTAATACAAAGTTTTGGTATAGGGTCGTGAATTTGGTTCAAATGAACATATTGGAAGCATATGCGATCCTACAATATTCACTGTTCGTTGTCGCGGTCGAAATCGACTCTAAAGTTATGAAATTATAAATAATAAACACTTTATGTTGTATAGCTCCCTCTCATGGTCAAGATATTATGTTTCTTGACTAAAATTGACCGATTAGCTATTCTCGTTCGGAAATTATATACAACCACATACTCTGAGATTTTCATGGTGGCAGCTACCATTGTACGGCCGTAGGAGCTATTTGAAATTTATCAAAATTTACCGGGAGCACCGGTAAATCTTTATATTCAATTTTTCTCAAAAGCAGAAGTGTTTTAGGAGCTAACATTTCTGGTGTTTTTGATATATCCACAGGGGCATCCAAATATATCGAAATTGTAAAGAATCACTATCCACCCAATTTTCAAAATTTCCCAAAACTTTGTATTACCTAAGTCCAACTTAAATTCAATCTCAGTCTTTGTGAAACACCCCCCCCCCCCCCAGGTATAGTAAGTAGAATGTGCTGTATAAAACGCAATTAAACGTGCGTATGTAATTCCCACCAATAACAAAACATTGTTTATTTTAGAATTGATGACCTTTCATGAAGTCATCCATTATAGATAGATCATATTGAGGGTTCAGTGACACAAAGATGTAACTCCATATTTTGCCAAAATGAGTATTTGTAATCAAAATGTTCAGAAAAATGTGGGCTTTCCAGGAAACACAAAGATTTAACTCCACCCAACACCCCATTAAAGTCAATGGCTAGTGAAACATAGACTGAACTCCTTAAGGCCCAAGTGCTCAATGACCCATAAACCACTTTTTCTCAAAATGGAGTTACATCTTTATGTCACTGACCCCTTGATATGAATTTGTTTGATTCCTTTTAGCATTGAAGGCTGCAGAGGAACTTCTAAAGGCATGGTTCCAACAGATGAAACCCTCTCTGTCCTCGGCCACCTCAAGTACCTTCAGAGACTTACTCTAGGTGGGGTTTCAGGTATTCGCCATGGGGCGGGATTCAGCACCATCTTCAAGGAATGCCGCCAGCTGTCCTTCCTGTCCCTGGCAGACTTTGGACTGAGAGGGCACTGTTCCTGGATGCCAGCATTCTGCGATGCTCTCAAGTTTGCTACATCGCTGCAGGATTTAAGGTGCGTCATAAGATCAAGTGTCTTTAAACATATAAAAAATTGGTGATGATGATGATGATGATAGTGATGACGATGTCTATAGTGAAGGTGGTGGTTGTGATGGTGGTGATGATGGTGATGGTGATGATGGTGATGATGATGATGATGATGGTGATGGTGACGATGATGATGATGATGATGATGGTGGTGATGATGGTGATGATGATGATGGTGATGATGATGGTGATGATGACGATGGTGATGATGATGATAATGATGATGGTGATGATGATGATGATGATGATGATGATGATGATTATGATAATGATTATGATAATTTTCCATGATTTCTAAGAAAGCAAATATGTTTGATCAACAATGACGGCCGCATCCTACCGGGTACCCATTTGACACCTGGGTGGAGAGTAGCAAGTTCAGGTTAATATCTTGCCAAAGGATATTAGTGCTGTATCGGGATTCGCATCTCCAGTCAACCGTTGGTCCCCCATGGCCCCCTTTTTCTTATGTTAATTGAGAGCTGATTTGATGAGATAACTTACTTTCGGTGACTATGTGGTCACTTTGATACAAACTTTATATTGTCAATGTTGTAATGGTCCATTTTCTAATGCATTTATTTACCAGGATTGATCTCAAGAATCTTAATGTATCAATTCGGCTTCAGAGTTCACTTCAGCACTGCAAGAAGTTGAGAAGGATCTGCTTGATATCTGAGAATGGAAGGTAAGTAAATGGATACCTGGGGAGTGTTTCACAAAGACTAAGATAGACTTAATTTTGACTTAACTATGGCAGGCTGTTCATGCCACTAATAACCATTTCTCACATAGGTTTCTCGATGGACGTACTGATAAGATTTTAGGGTCATGAGGTCAAAGGTCATGGGAGTCATTATATATGCAAAAATAGCTTGTGATCGCATTATTACTAGAACAGATGGACGAATTACCATCAAACTCGAGACATTTATATGTATCTTGCAAAGCCAATGAACTTATAAGATTTTAGGGTCATGAGGTCAAAGATAAAAGGGTCATACATTTATATCAAAAATAGCTGGTAATCATGATATTCTGAAAACCTGTTAATGGATTACAATTAAACTTTGAATTTGAAAAATTGCTTCTGTTTTGGTTTGTGAAATTAAGTTCCATCTAGTTTACCCCTGAAAAGTTAATTTCAAGATGTAACATGGCCACTGTGTATCAGTATGGGCAGTATGCGTCTTATTTTTTCGTACCACAGCGAGCCCAGATTCCAGTATTTTCATACAGAACAAGCTACAAAAGCTTGCAAAGAGGTCACAAACATCTAGACTTTGATTATTTATTGCTTTGCCTCACTATTTATAAAGGCAAAAAAAGTGAATAAATACTGAGGTTCGAACCCTCAAGTCAAACTCGAAAGTGCTATTAGTATAACTATAACGCTGTCCTTACGGATTGAGCTAACGATTGGTTGATGAAAGATTGATTTGTATAATTACTATCACCCTATTAACATCCCTACCAGATTCCATGTGCGCATGCTCGGGTTTCCTTCGTGAGCTTAATCTGGGCTCCCTGTGGTACGAAAAAATAAGACGCGGGCTGTATGGTATGCAGAGGAGTCCAAAATGGCTTTTTGCAAGTAAAATATTGTCTGTTTAGAGCCAGAAAGGCAATCTCTGTAAAATGGCTCTTTGTATAGTGATACGATGTACAGAGCTGCCAACCATTCCGTTTTTGCCAGAAATACTCCGTTTTTTCCTCCCAATTACGGTATTACGTTTTTTCTTCATAAAATATGTTTTTTAATAATTTTTTTAATTTTTTATTTTTTTATTTTTTTATTTTTTTACATACCGCATGTCAAACAACTGCCCTAAAATGGTGATTTGATCACAAATTCAATAGAAAAATAATTTTAAAACATACTTGAAGAGAAATGAAAATGAAATGCCGATAATACCGAAATAAACACCAAAAAAATTACCTGCTTGTATGGAAAAAACAGCATGATGAATGAACATTTATGCATTGGAAGTGTGTCGCGCGTGGTTTTAACTTTCTTTTTAATGAATTCCTTTTTTTTTGCTTGAAATTCCTTTTTTTTGCCATCATGATTCCTTTTTTTGGTCGCACAAGGTTGGCAGCTCTGGATGTAATGCCCTTCTGGCTTTTTACAGACGATACGTTTGTGACAGATACCTTGTCCTGAATAATGGTTTGATTTATCAAATTTGATTTCTGTGTAGGATTGAGAAACCAGCACCATCACATTTCATGGAGCTTGTAGAGAGCTGTCCAGATCTCTATCTGTTGGTTCTTTTTACGGCAGACTCTTTTCCAGTGAGGAAGAATCTGGGATGGTACATCAAGAAGGGGTGAGTGTAATGTAGCATTTAAAGCCCCACTGTACTACTTGTAGCTACTTGCTCCCTCTATATAGAAAACAATGCCTAATCGGTGACCATTGGTCCCCCATGATCCTCTTTTTCTTATGTTAATTGAGAGCTGAGTTGATGAGATAGCCACCTGTCACTGACCACACTGTGTGGTCTAATCCCTCCTGGCCAAAAAGTACAGCCGGCCTTTAAAGTTGCATAGTAGTGGGCTCTCATGGCGGATTCGACACCACTCCGGTGTACACCAAGGTCAATCACCAAGATTAGCCTTCAGTTTCATGACCAACAGGCCTTATGTAATGCTCTGCATTTTCCACCTTTCGACCCGTATGGAGACTAAGGGGTTACTTCTTGATGGGACCACAGGCTTGCTTTGTTTAACCCTATTTAGCCCGGGCTATTTTGATACTGCATAGCCCGGGGGGGGCTTCTAAAGCCCCCCCCCCCCCCTATGATCTCGGCCGTGAAACGACCGATCGCCGCGGAAATTTGCATACATGTCAAGTGAAGTGTATAGAATACTATGGTAATTTCTTGAAAAATTCACTCATTTGCATATTTAGGGTAATTTATGCAAATAAGGTCATAAAATTCACATTTTTGCCCATAAATCAGACAATATTCATATTTAAGCATTCATTTTCACTACATATAATTGTTAGACCATTTGGAATAATAATACAACACAAACAATTGAGGGTAGTGAGCATGATTTTTGTTTTTCTTACTCAACACCCCCCCCCCTTCCCTGTTGAAAACCATAACAAAATTGTTTACGATGTCCCTCGAAGCAGTTCCCCAAAGTTGACAGCCCTGCATAATTTGTACGTCAGATGAGAAAACCTCTTGTGAGGTCCCCGTAAAAAGGGACTCTGGCTTTAATAGTACTTATGTTTTTCCTCTGTCGTAGGTGCAAGGAGATTAGGCCATCGCTGCTTGTAGACTTTGGATCGTCAGAAGAGCTGAAGTCAGTAGTGAGCCGAATGGATAGACTCTCATTTGTACCCAACATCGAGTGGGGAGAGTTTTTTTATTTCAAGTACCATGTATGTAGCCCCGAGAGACACAATGGCATCACGTAACATAGATCTGAGAGAGCTAGTGTTCTTCAAGCACCAGGTGTGTAAGTCGGAGAAACACGATGGAATGAACCAGGAACCATCCAAGAAGCTCGATTGCATCACATAATGACTTTCAAGATTGATTGTCTCGACTGCTGACGGTAAGAAAGCCATTCATAAGACAAGGGCAAGCTCACTTCAGGAGCGACACCCTGGAATCATGCAACACTTGTCAAGAAGAGGTAATAATGTGTATTCCTTTGTTTTTCTTGTTTTTCAAATACGTTAAAGGGCATTATTTTGATGTAAGCATTTATTTTGTATTCTGTTTTTGTTGTTGTAATGACAGAATGTCTTATTTTAAGCCATGTTCTATCTCAACCTAATAGTTATCAGCTATGATATCTTAGGAGGTTGTGCTTCAAACATTTTTTGTTTATGCACTCTTCCTACTATGTATTATTTCTCGATGTAACCCGCTGAATTTTATTATCTGTAAACAATTATTTTACATGGTGAATAAATCAAACAAACAAATTTGCGCGATGACAAAAAATTACAACTTAATGAAGGCCGATAAACAAAGTGGTAAAAGAAGACAAGAACTACAGAGTTTGACATACTCAAAGCATAAAGTTATAGGGAAATAATAATGACCTATGCATGTATGTGTACTTCTCTTTCGTGAATAATGCACGGTGTAGATGATAGAATGAAAAAAAAAAAGTTTGATTCAAGGGTATCCAGAAAATAAATATACTGGACTATGTTAGTTAGGAGGTAATAGAATGAAGAGTTTTTGTTCCTTTATCTAAGAATCTTTTAAAGCATGTCTGTACTAGTTTGGCCAGGGGGGTTAGACCTCCCTGCAAGGTCACTGACAGATGGTTATCTCATCAAATCAGCTCTCAATTAACATAAGAAAAAGAGGATCATGGGGGACCAACAGGCACCGATTAGACATTGTTTGCTATATAGAGGGCGCAAGTAGCTATAAGTAGTGCAGTGGGGCTTTAAAAGGCACCATTGAACATCTTGGAGATCTATCAGTTCAAAGACCTCTTTCTATGGAAATAACAGAGGAGGTCTCTAAAGAAAGATCAAGGGTTTCCAAGTTTAAAATTATATACTAAGATTTTATGGATGTAGAGGGGATAGAAAGAAGAAATTTTATTCCCATTTTCTTAAAAAATAACCCATTGACCTTCTTCAAGTTGGTGATCCATCGGTTCCAAGAGTACTCTCGATGGAAGTCACATAGGAAGACTTTGAGGAAAGGGTCAAGGGTGTCCAAAGCCAAATATGGCATGCTCCCTGATTTGTAGTGATGAAGCAGTGGCCGGCTCAAAGAATATTCCACCCTTTACTTTCATTTTGTTTAGAGGAGACCCCATTTTCCATGTGCCTTCCCCACCATTTGCAGGCTTTACTGTATCTTGGAGTGGCCTGAGAAAACTTTTAATTAAAATTCAAAGGTCTCTAAGTTGAGCTTTATGGCTGGACTGAAGGAGCCGAAGCAATGAGCCATTGGTACAAAGAATATACAACCCTTTTCTTTTTAGAGATCCCATTTTCTGCCTACCATTGTCACCAAGTATAGGCTTTGTGCAATGTGGAGGTCACTTCCGAAGACTCTTATGAAAAATTAAGGGTATGAAGAGTTTATATTTGTTCTCGGCCTGACGGTGCTGAAGCAATGGCAAATTTTTTATTTAAAAAATCTAACCCGTTTTTTTAAATTTATTTATTTAATTTATTTATTAGTCTTTTTTAGTAGGGTGACTCCATCAGTAGTTAAATATTGTTTTCCTTGGAGGCCCTACAACATACATGTAAATACAACATTTACAAACATATTGATGTACACAATCCAAATCGAAACAAAATGAACTCAGTTACAACATTTTCGAACAAAAAAAAAGGAACAAAAAACAACACAATGGACCAGTTCAATGATTTATTATTATAGCGCCAAAACAAAAGAGTAAATGAAGAATTTGATGATGCATTTCTTAAAAAATTAGGTAAACTATTCCATAAAGCCGCACCATCAAATGAAAAACTTCGTTTTCCCATCTGGGTTTTTATTTGGGGAAAAATTAATCCTGCATTTTGTGCACTGCGCGTTCTAATGTTATGTACAGATTGGGTTTTTTGAAACATTTGTGAACAAGTGGAAATGGATATGATAAACAAATTTTAAACTTACGATGCTGGGTACACTTTGGAGCTTGTCCTTGAACCTTGGCATCCCGGCTGCCTCTCAGCCCCTTCCTGGTGATGGACGAACATTGTGGAATGCGGTGAAGGTACAGATTAATCAGCCTATTTGAGAACAACAATATCTTAATATCAGCTTGTCATTTATGGAATGACTTTCTATTACCAATATAGGCCCGTAAAACCAGAGTGGTTTGGGAGGTGTAAGCGACCCCAACATAATTATACAGCCATATAACACGTTAGGAGGGATGGGGGGGGGGGGGGGGTTGACATGGTGCATTTAGTTGGTCGTCGTAAATACAAATATCATGCGGATAAGCTCTTTCAATGCCACAAGTGGAAATAGATATAATAAACAAATTATAAACTTACGGTGTTGAGTACACTTTGGAGCTTCGCCCTCGAATTGTGCATCTCTGCTACATATTCTTCCTTTCCGAGTTTTCAATGCCACAAGTGGAAATAGATATAATAAACAAATTATAAACTTACGGTGTTGAGTACACTTTGGAGCTTCGCCCTCGAATTGTGCATCTCTGCTACATATTCTTCCTTTCCGAGTTGTCGACAAACACTTGATGGGGTGGTGCACTTCGGAGCTTGTCCTTCAACTTTAGCATCTCTGCTGCACCTTATCCCCTTCCTAGTGATGGATGTGCACTTGATGGGCCGATGGAGATATAAGTTGACTAACCTGTAAGTCAACAACAATATCTGAATATCAGCTTGTCATTTATGGAATGACTGTCTTTTATCAATATAGACCCGTAAAACCCAAGTGGTTTGGGAGGTGCAAGCGACCCCAACGTAATTATACAGGCATATAACATGTTAGGAGGGATTGGGGGGGGGGGGGGGTTGACTCGAGGTTGCATAATTATCAACTCTGCTTCCATTTCCGGGCAGATCTCATGCCCTCTTCTAAATTGATGGTGTCATCTTCAGACTCCTCCATATCCGATATGTACCTGGTACTGTCATCCTCAATGTACCCCACCCCCCCCCCCCCTGCTCTCTATCACATGACTTACCCCTCCCTGCCTCCCCTGTTAATACAGCCTGGACTCTTGTGGGCCGATCGCCCAATATATCTTCAAGTTGCTCATAGTTCACACTTGTCTCTTTTGATCTCTTTTCACTAGCCTCTTGTATTAAGATCCATATACATAAACATTGGATTTCTTTATGTATATTTTATACCAGCATAGGTGTTCTTGTCCGATAATGGCAAAACGTTCCGCACAGCAACATATTCTGACAAAGTTTTCAAGCCAGCCTTACCAATACGATAAATTTCATCACACACATGAACCCATGAACTGGAAAAGTGTTAGTTCGTCTTATCAATGATCTCGGTAACCTCTATATCATCATTACCAAGTTTTTTGATGAGTACTGGAATTGCCTGGATTACATTAATTGTATTTAGTACTTGAGTATCAACACCTTGTGTTCCATGAATATTTTGCTTAATAAAACCGTTGAAATCTTCAAATACAAAACAGTTATTTGAAAACAGTGGACCTGTGAAACGGTACTGTTCTAGTTAAATGTACAAGTTGATGAAGGTTCATTGTCATGAAACACAAGGAGTACAAATCTGCAAAGTTTTTGACAAACTGTTTTAAACAACTGTCAGCAAGGACCAAGTCTTCAATGTATCATGCGGATAAGGTCTTTCAATTCCACAAGTGGAAATAATAAACAAATTATAAACTTACGATGCTGTGTACACTTTGGAGCGACGCCATCAAATCTTGAATCTCTGCTGCACCTTATCCCCTTCCTAGTGATAGATGTGCACTTTGTTGGATGGTGCTGATATAAGTTGACTAACCTGTAAGAACAATATCTGAATATCAGCTTGTCATTTATTGAATGACTGTCAATTATCAATATAGGCCCGTAAAACCTAAGTGGTTTATACAGGCATATAATACGTCCGGAGGGAGGGGGGGGGGGGGGGGGGGGGGGGGGTTGACTCGGGGATGCATTATCAACTCTCTGCTTCCATTTCCGAGCAGATCTCATGCCCTCTTCTAAATTGATGGTGTCATCTTCAGACTCCTTCATATTCGATATGGACCCGGTACCATCATCCTTAACGTACCCCACCCTCCCCCCCCCCCCCTCCCTGCTCTCCATCACATGCCTCACCCCTGCCTGACCTGTTAATCTCTTGTGGGCCGATCGCCTGATATATTTTCAAGTTGCTCATAGTTCACAAAGGTCACTTGACCTTCCCCACTCTTTTAATTTGTTTGCAGTTTTTGGTAGAATCTCCTCTTTAGATTTTCATTTTGTTTTGAATGGAAGTTGAGGATCTCATTTATCCTGCCTCTGCTAAAAGCTGTACCATTTCTTCATGCACAACTATGTTCCTAACTGTCCCATCTAATTTTTGCTTCATTTCCTCCCTCGCCCAAATTTCTAATAACAAATAATCCTCCTTTTTGTCCTCCTATTCTCAGAATAGTAGTCACTTCTTGCCTTGTTGTAGGAAACTTCATGAATTCTGGCAACAGCTTCTGAAATATCCCTCAACTCGGCAAACGGATGACTGTTACATGCTCGTCCTCATGCATCCTTACGGAAGGGAATGAGATGTGCGCCGTTGACCTTTTGTGTTAAGACCACGTCTCTGGAAACATCTCGGAGGAGAGAGAGACCTTGTTTCGTGTCTGTGGGTCATTAACCGGGATGAAATTTGTAGATGAAACATTGAAATGTTTCACCACTGCTGCCTGATGTTTGCAGGGGCCCCCTGTCTTACCAGCATAACAAGAGCAATGACCAATTTCCATGTCAACATTGTACTCCATGTCTTGTGATGTCTGACTGGTCACCATGAACTGGCTGGTTGAAAGCTGTAATTAAAACATATTATAAAGCAATAAAATACAAATGCGTAATACAACGTTCAGATCTGCTCCGGTTTGACATTGATTCAATGAACACTTCTTCAGTTAGGCATGGGAAAAACTTATTTTTACAAATTGATATATCAGCTTACGACTTTCAAATACTGACCCCTTATCAAAAGCATGTTAGAAGCATTCATACTGTAGTTCACATGGGTCTCTTTGGATCTCTTTTCACTAGCCTCTTGTATTTAGATCCATATACATAAACATTCAATTTCTTTACGTATATTTTATACCAGCATAGGTGTTCTTGTCCGATAATGGCAAAACGGTTCCGCACAGCAACATAATCATATTCTGACAAAGTTTTCAAGCCAGCCTTACCAATACGATAAATTTCATCACACACATGAGCCCATGAACTGGAAGAGTGGTAGTTCTTCTTATCAATGAACTCGGTAACCTCTATATCATCATTACCAAGTTTTTGGTGAGTACTGGAATTGCCTGGATTAAATTAATTGTATGTAGTACTTGAGTATCAACACCTTGTGTTCCATGAATATTTTGTGTAATAAAACCATTGAAATCTTCTAATACAAAACAGTTATTTGAAAACAGTGGAC